CCTCAAGGGTATGTTGCATTTTTTCTAAAATGTCATTATGTTCTTTCTGTAACTTGACCAATTCTTCTTTGTGCTTCCTCTCAATAGAAGCAATTGTCGCCTCATCATTCTTGGAATTAGGGTTCAGTAAATCAAATTTCGGGTCAGTACTCTCAATGGGAGTTGTAAGGGTTGTGCTAACAGTACTTTGCGAATTCTCAGAAAGTCGAAGTTGATTACTTGAATCCGAATTATCTCGAGTATGTTTTTTGTATTGTAGGAGAGTAGTTTCTATGTTGCTAATAGGAGTTTCGGATTTATTGTCAACAGTGGAAGGTAATGATTTATTATTTGTTGTTTCTTTCGTTTTGGTAACATCGAGATCCGTATCCAAAGCTTGTATTCTAGAATTTAAAGCGGCAATTTGAGCAGCCGTACTGAATGGTGTCTGCGATTTTGAAGCTTCTATTTTGTCTTTGGCAACGTTTCTGGTAAAATTTCTCGCGGGGGCTTTTTCTACTTTATCACTTCCCTTGTCAGTAGCCTGAAACCTCGCTATGGCAGAAGCAACAGTGGACAACTTAGCTTTGGGTATATGACCGCTCTTATCCCCAGGATTTGATGTAGAAATTTTTCGTTGGTCGGCATTTGGAATACTTTTCGACGCCATGAATTTTTTTGTTTTAACTCTGGGTTCAAAATTGCGTGAACGGTTACCGCAAAACTCTAGATATTAACAGCGAGAATGTAAGACAAAAAAAAGTAAATTAAATAAGTGCATCCTTAATGTGTGCAGTTATTTGTATATTTAAATGCGGTCGAAACTTGTGTGCGGTAGGGTAACAATATGTTTGATGTTAGACCTTATTGGGTTAGCCGAACATTTTTGCACGAATCCGAAACGAGGAAGTCGATCTTATTTTTAGATTATATATTAATTGATGAACGCTATACTGTATACAGCAGGTTTATAAATAGCTGATCATCGATAATGTTTTACATTGTATTTTAATTAAGGTATTTAGTCATATGGGCGTGTTTAGTTCAGTCCCCCAAAAATTGATAAATTATTTTTTAGACCCTTAATTTGTTTATCCAATCA